GTATATGTAACTGTTCCTGGAAGACAGTAAATAGCTGAATTCCGTAACAAATTAACACAATGAACCAGGTGATAACTTTCGGAATTCCTATTTTGGATCCTGACTATGTTTCGGTTAGGCGTAGTTCGGTGGCTGCAAAGTTCAATCCGCACTGTGCTCCATCCGGTTCAAAAGATGCAATTGCATTTTGTTTTTAGTTTGGGAATAATCAAACTAAAGGATTATCTGAGTGGAGGAAAGTTATTGCTGGATATGCGACGCCAGATCCTTGTATATAGCAATATTTTCTTAAACTGAAATTGTACATTTGGAGGACAACAGGCATGCTTACTGTTGATGGAACGCGACTATCCTATTTTTGCTAATTGAAAATGAAAACTAGTTCATCTGTTTCAAGGTGTTGCAGTGCCGCTTCCTTGATGGAAACCGCAGAATCTCTTTATGGTTTTACTCTTCATGGGTATTCCTAAGTTAGCATCTACATAGCTCGGTGTTTTTGCTGTCAAGATATGCATACGGCACTTAAACACGTTCGAGATAGAAGTGATGCTCTTGAGTAGATGCGGAAAGTTTGACAACGACTATCGCTGAACCTTTCATGGCATAGGTTTCTCCAAAATTGAAAACTTGGAAGAATACACAGGTCTACGATGTCTATTTCTCGAGGTTAACGGGATAGAAGAGCTATCAGGTCTGGAGCATCAGAAGGAGCTTCGATCGCTTTATCTATCAAAGAACCTTATCCGTCGCATCGAGAATTTGGATCATATGCAACACCTGGACACCCTGGACGTGAGCAACAATATGATATGCAAAATAGAAAACCTTGGCAAGTTTTGCTTTTCTGACATGGTTACATTCAGCTTATGCTAAGGAATGACATTCCTCATGCCTGTACCTTTGAACACCTTTTATATGTGTATGGTATGTATGTAACATCAAAATCTCGACGATCGAAAGAGTTAAAAAAATGTTGTTCAACTTAACGTAAACTTGAGGAAGTACCGTTGGGTGCACAAGTGAATCGCCTAACACAGAGCACAGCTGACATCACCGTTTTTTTCCAAGAGAATACTCTTCTTGGGCTATCAAGAGGATTAGTTTTAGTCATAGCAAATCCTCCTTCAGAAACTTTATGAAGCAAAATGTTATTGCTGCTCTTACTCTACTTAATTTTGTGGGGGCAACTCTCCGATTGAAACTTCATAACATGTGCATACATGCAGGACACAAGGGTTACATAAAAACTGTTGTACGTGCCGCTTGGAGCCGTCTCCTATTTTAGCTACAAGGTGCTCGGTTCTCACTTTTCTCATATTCCTCACCTAATTTCGGGATTTTTAGGCCACCGCAGAGGATAATTAGCGGTACCCTACCGGCTGCATCGAGCAGGATGGATAGGAGTTTGGATGATACTGCTCAGACCTTCCTGTCTTCGTACTCCTCCTCTTACGCATTTTCACCCCTATCGTCCCGTTCGAACTTCATTGTTGACCCCTAGTTTTCGACTCCGCATTTCTAGGCCCTCTCCCACCATGCTTTAATAGGCGTTTAGCTTCTACACCTTTTCCCTATTGATTACATCCATCGTACAATTGAATTGCTCCATAAGGCTTTGGTTTGCATCCACAAGCCATTTGAACAGTCTTTAGCACAGTTGAATTACATCCGGTATCTTTCCGCCGCACCATATGCGCGCAGTGTCCTTAGAATTGAGCTAGCCCAAATCAGCCAATCACGGTAGATATAATAACTGCTGCATAAATGTATGAATTGGTGGTGTGTGGTGGAGACGCGTGGGCAATCTAACCCCCATTCAGCAATGAGTGCCTAGACTGAAGCCAGTTCCACGCAGCTTAGGGGCACAAGGTTTTCCAAACACATGGTGCGACTGGGTGGGGGGTTCAGTGGGAGTAAGTGGACTACCAGACATGCCTTGCGAACGGCACCAGTGAAGGAGGGCTGCAAACACGGTACTGCTACACCCCATTAGCCATTTTATGGCTAGGTTGGCACTGGCGCAGCCCAAGGTTTTGGACGATCTATCAACGCTCGGGCATTCGACGGCACTGTGTCCGTATAGCAGGTGTGTGTGCTGTGCGGCCGCACTTTAACTCGGCTCTTGCTTTGCCTTCTGTGGCCACTATACTTTTCCCCACACAATATTGTGTGTACACTCGTTCGAACCAGTTCGACGAGCTCTACTCAGTGCTTCCCAACTCTTGGATCTAACCTGTGTAGTTTAGACTCTTGCTCCAGTTCCCAGTTTTCGGCATATTCTTTGCCGAATTCCACTTGTGTAACTACATCAAACCGGTTTTTCGGAAAAGATTTTAGTCTCATTCCGAAGAAGAACCTGAGGGCTCCTAAGCTACCCAGCACTTATCCCTGCAAGTTGTAGCATAATAAAGTTACAGTCATTTTGCTTCGCTCATCAACTGAACAGCTCTAGGGACGCTTAGCAGCGCTCCGCCTGCATCGTCGCTTAAGGCAGGCCGATCAATGCACGCTGCTGCTTTGTATGGGTGCGTGTGTTCACCTGCGAGTCGATCGATCGCTGATCGCGATGGCCTACGCGTTACGACCTCCATCTGTCGCGACCGCCTGACCTTGGTGCGGTTGAACAACTCTCAATGCATGTGCGTGTGTTCACGTGTTTGTGCGTCACGCCTGGCGCAACGAACATTCATCAAGGTAGGCGCTCAGATAAGCCTTGCTGCAAAAGATAACAGGACGACTAGCATCCCAATGGTTCAGCGTCGCCTATGTTGCGCAGGTAATTGCAGTAAAGTCCTTAAGCTCAGTGTTACCTGTTTTAGCTGCATTAGATCGTACTGTCCGCAATGTGTAGGCAAATCCGTCCAAGAAGTGAGATAGACAAACCAAGTTGATGACACAATTTGGTTTTGCCCAACATGTCAAGTCATTCCAATTGTCAACTTTTTATTTTTGTTCATGAAAAAGCGCAATAATGACTGGGATACTCGTGCATTTGGTAAATACTAAGATCGAACCCACGGAGGTAAATATGGCCACGATAATGCCTTACCCGGCCAACGTAAGCTTTGATTCTAAGCCGAAGAAGAGATCTAGAAGCTCCAACTGCACTGCAGTGTCTATGTGTCCAAATCCACTGGGTCACCTCACTCCTTATAAGTGGACAAGCCCCAAACATGCCTGCTTCCACTTCTCCAAACATAAGCGCTACATCTGAAGATTCAGCCATGACACCGACAGCTCAGAGCTGAAGGCAATCCGGTGCAGATAACAAGCACGTAACGTACGTATCGATTGCCTCGACAAACAAACCGGGAGCGACGCATCTAGGTCCATCTTCAGTACCGAGCCAACATGGAGCAACGCAGCTTTCACCGTCAAATCCAGTGGTGTCTTCTAAACAGCCCGAATTGCCGGCAAAAACCATAAAGCCAACACTCGCTAGACAAAACCACGCTATGTTAAATCTCGTGTGCACCAACGTTCCCGAATCCAAATTTGGCACTATAAAAGGCAAGTTGCAAGACGATCGCAACCAGTGGAGCACCATCTGTGATGCGATTTGTATTCGGGGTGAGCCTGCAGTGCTGCAACGCGTAGCGCGTCACCCGACCTCAGTGCACTCTGGTGAACCTCGAATTATTCGTGTAACACTAGACTCAGCAGATGAGACTGAGGCTGTCCTGCTCTCAGCAGTTCGTCTTCGCAACTCACCGAGCGGAGTGCGCATATTACCCGATCCACCATGGAAAGATCACCCAAAAGAAACAGTTGAGCAACGCGGCATTCCTAATAGCGATAGCAAGAAAACAGTATTTGTTCATGGTGTTCCCGAGCTTCTGCATTCTTCTGATCACGATGCGCATACGCATGACCGAGAGCAGTGGTGCTACATCCGGGAAGCACTCTCTGTTGACAATGTTATTGTCAAATCTTTGACAAGAGTTCCATCATCACCCAACTACAAGGGCTGCGGTCCAAGACTAATGAAAGTAATACTACACTCCGAGGGAATGACGCAAGTTCTGTTGGCTAACTGGTTAAAGTTTCGAACCAGGTTGCTAACAGAGCTCCGGCTAAAGGCATCAGGCGAACGGCCAAGAGTCGGAAGCAATTCGATGGAACTTGCAAACGTAACAAATTCTTTATTTGCACATTCCTGTGGAGAGACCGACACAACAGCACCCACGGCACACTACAGGACAGAGCACAGCAAGGGTGAAATGTCTGTTCAGAAACGCCCAATAATGTCATGCAACTTGACTGAAATTCATAAACCAAAAAACGAATAATGGCCGGCCACCTAACTGCCGGCTTAAAAACCAACAAAAAGTTGACATCCATCAACGCACTCCTGACAATAAAAGCCCTATCTTGTATGTACACAAACGCCCAAGAACTTCTAAGCAAGTTGGCCGAACTTAATGAACTCAAACACAAACCTCCGATGTGTAGTTATCGATGACCAGGAAATCCGCGCTCCTGATTCCCTTTGGTGCGACCTATGGTTGCGAAACATGTGTGTCACTATAAATTTAAGAATAAACTAGTTATTTATTTAGTTTATTTATTTACATGTCTACTAGGTGTGATTTACCGCCCACCAAACTCAAAGTCAAAAATAGACTCCAAACTGAACCACGTCTTTCATTTTACTTGGAACAAGTCCTACACCCACATTCTTACCGATGGAGACTTTAATGTGCACGACATAGAAAAGCCAACAACCCGCGGTACGCAGTTAAAAGCGTGCTTGTAAAACCCAATTGGTAGTCACCCTCTGTACAACCACGTAATCTATCCCACCCGATTTCGAACTGCTAACAAACCATCGATACTGAATCTTATGCTCGCTAACAAAGAACTCATGTGGGATTGGATAGTTACAAGCACACCACTGGGCCGTAGTGATCATGTTACTCTACTCTTTGACTATATATGCTATGCGGAGTACCCTGAAAACGAGGATGATAAAATGCATAGTGTCCCGCAATACAATTTTTTATCTATGCTTGCTAAGGGTACATCTTGGACTTTCTTAACCGAATGCCCCTCAGAAGTTGCCTGGAAAACTTTTGCAAGGACGTTTAGCACACTGGTTACGCACGCATCGGAGCAGAAGTCCTTCCAACCTAAAAAAAGCATAAGTTATTTCTGAAGAGCAGAACACGTAAATGTATGTCCCGGAAGGATTTGGCGTGGAGAGCTCATAAAGACTGTTCAAATGCCGAAACCTGGACTGCATACATGACACATCGTAACCCCCTGGTGTGCCCATACAGAGCGACCTCAACTGTTCAAAACAGGCTGAGGTAGCAACGAAAAGAGGCAACCAACACGTCGACATGCTGCGAAGGGCTTGCGGGAGATTTGACCGATTAATCTTCCCAAGGATGCACAATTCCTACATGCGCCCGCAAGTTGAATACACTATCCAAGCTTGGCAACCTTGGTAGAAGCGCGACCTAGAGGCGTTAGAGGCACCACAACGAAGAGTAACAAAGAACGTAAAGATCCTGCGCTATCACTCTTACCACCGAAGGCTGAAGTTGCTGGGAATTTTCAGCGGACGCTAGCGAAGGTTGCGCGGCGATCTCATAATAGCGTATCAGATATTGTGTGACCCTAAGCACGTATGCCGCCACTTGCTGAAAATTAGCCACAACACGCAGCTCAGGGGTAATTGCTTAAAATTGAAGGAGCAATGTAGCCGTCTATAGAGTGTCGACGGAATTACTTTTCCCTTCGCTTTTGCCAACCTTGGAATGCACTCTCAGAGTCAGTTGTATCCTCCCTTAGCTTGGACTTTCTCAAAAAAAAACGATTAGATGT